GTGAAATGACTTACAATATTTCCTTTGCAAGTAAAAGCTTTAGTCTTCACATGAGAAAAGTCCCAGTTAAGTAAAAGACACAATTACATTCTTGATATCTCGTTTCCTTAAGCATACACCTCCCCAAAAGTTATGAATACGTATGTGCAAATGCAGAGAAAACAAGTGTGAAAAAAAAAGATGTTATGGTGATTCCATTTGGAGAAGCACAGATTTTATACTTTGAGTTAAAATGAAACTCAGTTTGACCAGGAGACGAAACAGGAATTACCAGATGCCAATCTTAGCCTGGACGTGCCTCGATTACAGAGGAAATGTTGGAGATCTAGTTCCATACATTTTTAAGATGGAGAGAATAACGGAGGATCTGTGCAGGATTTCTTTAGAGGGAGCCACGAGCCAGAAGCCACCGGGACTGCAGGAAAAGTGCTGTGGGGAACGTTCAGCCTGCGACAAATCAGGGCAGGAGAAGAGCAGATTAAAGACAGCACAGGGTGCACAAGCAGCCCGCCCGCCTGGACTCCTGGTCTCGAATCTCTGCATTTCCGGCTCCTCTTGCGTTTCCCCTCCCACCCCCACCCAAATCTCGTTATTTCCTAAAGTATCGCGATACTCCACTTACAATTTTTTTGTTGCTGTTATGAGCGCCTAGGGGAGTATTTTAAACATCAATCTTGTACACAACATGGTGGAACAGGTGCTCGTGAAGTTATTTAGTTAAATAGATTAATTGTAAAAATTACAGGATGGCCGAAAAAGACCATGTGTCAGAAGTGGGATTCGAACCCACGCCTCCATTCGGAGACCAGAACCCCCAGCGCTGGGGAAGCTAAGCTTGAGTCTGGCGCCTTAGACCACTCGGCCATCCTGACACTCTGTACCACGGGCGAATTTTTTCCCTAAAGAGCTTTGCAGACCAGCGCGGTTGCACTCAGCCCCGCTGCGGAACCGCTGGCGGAGACGCCAACCGCCTGCGGCCGATGAAAAGGAAGATGCGGAGCAAGGAAACGTGTGTCTTTCGCCCGGAGCTCTGCAGAGTTTCCTTGGGGTGGTCCCATTCGGGCCCGACCCCCGGCCCGGGTTTCCAGCGCTCGCCGACCCGGGGAAACCGAGCAGGACTCGCGGCACGGAGCTGCCTGGCTCCCGATGTTGCTCGGGGCTCCCACGGGGGCCGCTGGAGGGTCGCGGCAGAAGGCCGGGTCCAGGGGGCCCGTGGGCATCCTCGGGCGTCCGTCGCCCACTCAGGCGACCCCAGGGGAACGGGGCAGCTCCGGGCTCACACGCCCCGGGGCTCACCGCGCCCGAGTCTGGAGGGCGCCACCTGCAAGGCTCCTTCTTTCTTTCTTTCTTTCTTTCTTTCTTTCTTTCTTTCTTTCTTTCTTTCTTTCTTTCTTTCTTACTTTCCTTCTCTTTCTCTTCTTTCCTTTTTCTTCTTTCCTTTCTTCCTTTACTTTCCTTCTCTTTCTTTCTCTTCTTTCCTTTTTCTTCTTTCCTTTCTTCCTTTACTTTCCTTCTCTTTCTTTCTCTTCTTTCCTTTTTCTTCTTTCCTTTCTTCCTTTACTTTCCTTCTCTTTCCTTCTTTCTCTTCTTTCCTTTTCTTTCTTCTTTCCTTTCTTCCTTTACTTTCTTTCTCTTTCTTTCTTTCTTTCTTGCTTTCTTTCTCTTTCTTTCCTTCTTTCTTTCTTTTTCTTTCTTTCCTCTTTCCTCTCTTTCTTCTTTCCTTTCTTTCTTCCTTTACTTTCTTTCTCTCTCTTTCTCTTTCTCTCGTTCTCTCCTTCCTTCCTTCCTCCTTTCCTCCCTCCCTTCCTCCCTTCCTCCCTTCCTCCCTCCTTCTCTCCCTTCCTTCCTCCCTCCCTCCCTCCCTCCCTTCCTTCCTTCCTTCCTCCCTCCTTCCCTCTCTTCCTTCCTCCCTCCCTCCCTCCCTTCCTCCCTCCTTCCCTCCCTTCCTTCCTCCCTCCCTCCCTCCCTCCTTTCCTTCCTCCCTCCCTCCCTCCCTCCCTTCCTCCCTCCTCCCTCCCTCCCTCCCTCCCTTCCTTCCTTCCTTCCTTCCTTCCTTCCTTCCTTCCTTCCTTCCTTCCTTCCTTCCTCCCTCCCTCCCCCCCTCCTTCCTTCCTTCCTTCTTTCTTTCATGAAGACCCGGGACTAAACAATTTAGGGTTCTGCTAAACGGTGCTAAACTCATAGCAGCGGTGCCATCCACATAGTTGACTCGCCGACTCGCACTGCTGTGGACATTTGGAGAATAAAATAGAGCAAAGGAAGTAAATTTATTTCGTCCCTATAAATGCTTTACTGCTGACTAACATTCAAAGATCCACTCCCACAACTTTACTTCCTGGAAAACAAAGACTTTTTTTTTCTTGCATGAAAGAAAAAATTTTTTCTTTGGTTTTATTTTAGATTTACAGCTAGTCAAATCAAAGATAACCTCTCTGATAGTTAGAGGAAATGAGTGCGAGATGCCGAGGGAACAAAAGTTTTCTAATCTCCCTTCCTCCAGATAGGTTTGTTGCAGTAGTTCTGTTGGAAATGGAACAGTAAGTAACACCCAAACTGGCAAAGTAAGCTTCACATTCTTTTCATTGTTCTTATTCAATTTGAAAGATCTGATAGGCTTTATCAAACGTTAACCTGGACAGCATCACATGAATCTGACAAATGGAAAGTCTTAAGGGAAAAAAAAACAGACTGGAGGAATTTTGTAGTCAAAGGGGATGCAGATAGTTATTAGCAAAGGAAAGTTTATTTTAGGTAAAAACAAAACCCCTTCCCTTAGGGGAAAGCAGGGGCGGTTGGTCAAACTCACTAGCACTGATCTGAAAACCCCAGATTCAATTTCCACTTTTGGGAAAGAGAAAACTGCTACTAGATGAATTATAATGGGACTTGGAAAGAACAATTTCATGTTGGGCCTTTATTATTATATATTTAATCAGTAACCAATAAATGTGAAAAAAGCAATTTTCTGAGAAGGGCTTGACAAGTGCTCTTGCTGCCTTTCAATCATTTTTCTAGTACAAAGTTCGACAGAGTGTTGAATTATTTTCACTTTCATGAGAAGTGCTAAGAAAAAAATTTTTTTCAAATCCCATTGCTTCCATAAATTTCCCCAGGTGGAATTAACTAGTTTCTTTCTTTCAAAGCTTTTATACTCACTACCCACCTGCCTACCAAATGCTTCAGGCGTAGGTATTTCAAACATGACCAATGTAGAATATAGTATGGTTAAATATTGTAATAAGTGAAAATAAGGCACTGTTTGATACATATATATTTTGGGGGTGGGGCAAAAGGCTGTACCCACTGATGCTCCTGGATCTGCGCTCAAAAATCACTCGTAGTGGGCTCAGGTGCCCAGATGGGAGATAAACCAGGGGTTGGCTGTGTGCAAGGCTAACGCCCTACCTGCTATCTGTATCACTCTGGTCCCATGTTCTATACATTTTTATTATTGAGGTTCAACCTTAATACGTAAGAAATTTTTACTTCTTCCTTAGTGAACTGCCTACCAACATTTTATTGTTCATCTTTTTTTTTATAAAATATATAAGCCTTTGTGATAGCTCATTAAGAACCCGGGCAGAAACTTCACTGATAAGAATCCATTTAGTTCCTTAAATATTTAGTGAATCCATGTCATAAAACTGAAGCTGCACGGTCTTCAGTAGCCAAGCACATGCAGTGGTCCTTGTAGAGTATACTGTGGTTTTGGTTTGGGGGCCAAGCCCAGCAGTACCTGTGTAGACCATGTCATGATTGCAATCCATCCCAGCGTCCCCTGTGCAAAGCATGAACTCTAGCCCTCTGAGCCATCTCCCTGGCCTGGGCATTTACTACCTGTTACCTTATGTTCCATCCTTGTTTTTTTTTCAAAGTACAGTGTCTTTTGGGTAATTACGTGAAATAAATTAATCTAAATATTTTACTATTTATTAACATTCTACACTGGCTACACGGACACACAGACACACACACATGCATCTTTTTGATTTTTGCGGCCACCAGAGTGCTCAGGGCTCACTCCTGATGAACTGGGGAGATCATATGGGGTGTCAGGGAATCCAACCTGGGTCAGCTGTGTGCAAACCAAGCACCCTATCTGCTCCAGCCCATATTATATTTTTATGAAAACATCTTTTGTGGATTTTGAGAGGCTCGAGTAATTTAAAATACAGAGATACAAATTGAGATGCAGTTATTATTTGAAATGGGATTTATCATAAACTGATAGTTGAACTTTCCTAGGTATTTTTATGTATGCTGATTTTTTTTTTTTTTTTGCTTTTTGGGTCACACGGCATTGCACAGGGGTTACTCCTGGTTCTGCGCTCAGGAATTACTCCTGGCAGTGCTCAGGGACGATATGCGATGCTCGGAATCGAACCTGGGTCAGCTGTGTGCAAGGCGAACGCCCTACCTGCTGTGCTAATGCTCCAGCCCCCTGTATGATTAAAGATTTTTAACGCTAATACAGAAGGCATGGTTGGGGCATGTGTTCTACATAAACTCACTGGTTCAATCCCCAGAACAAGTGATCCCTGGGCAACTGGCTAGTAGTTCCTGTACCTAGCCAAGTTTTAGGCCAAACAACAAAAATATTTTAGACATTTTAACAAAATATATTTAATAAGATGTATTAAAAATACTCACTTAAAATATTCTGGCAGTGGTGATGCCAGGGACCAAACCCGGTCAGCTGCATGCAAGGCAAGCATCCCACCCCCCAGTACAATACACCCACTGTACTAACTCTCTGGCCTCCTTCACACACTTATATTGTCATAGGTATAGCAAAAGCTAACTTAAACCTGGTAAGGCAATGAATCAGAACCTGACCAACTCACAATCACAGGATGAACCAGTAGAGCTGTGCAAGTCTGAACATTTTTCTTGCATCGGATAGGACAAGAAAGTAAGTTCATTTACATGGAAGTAAGTCACTGGCCAATCAAGACTCTGAACCAATAAGGAATACCAAGACCAACGAAACCACCACCATGTAAACAACATCCATATTCACTTTATTCTCAAACAGAAAGGCATGTACTCAAAGAGAATTAGGACTAAGAACCATCACAGGGGGTTGCTCAAAGTGCTCTGACCCCAGAATGCTCCAGGATCCAATGGTCACGGGAAGGAAAGCCCCCCATGTACACGTCAGAAAGGTCAATTCCCCCACCCCTGAAGGAGATGGCAGAGGAAAGGAGGGAAAAGTTGAAGACTCCCCGGAGGAGGTGCACGGATGGTGGCGGACTGACGGTCAGTCCACAGAGGTGAGACGGAAGCGAACACTGGGTGGTTTGGGATAAAAATTTATTCTGGGGAATGTGTATCCAGCACCGGGATAACTTTTCATTAGAATGAAGGGAGCAGAGGGACCTCAGAACAGATCGGACCGAAGAGCACGTGGGTTAGAGCATTATCTCATGAGGGAGGTGGGGCCATTTCCCACCATAACCGTAAACGAACTGTAACTAACCCAAACACGGAGGCCTCTGGCACGGAGTTAACCAAACTAGGGCAGGCTGGGACCAGGGAAGAGGCAGATCCCCAGAAAGAAGGTGCTCCCTCCTCAGAGACTCTCACGCCTCGGAGAGCGGGTGGAGCACTGGAGGTGGAGCCTGGAGGCATCTGGGGACAGCTCCCAATCTGCGTGGGGAGAGGAGGGCCGAGAACCAGCTGGACATCATGTCCCCACCGCAAGGGCACGGAGGGCGGGAAGGTGATCTGGCCGCGACAGCAGCTAGATGCCCCCAGCCGGGTGGGGTGTGGCCAGCGGCCCCTCTGGCCTGGCCGGCCTCCTCACGGGGAGGTCTCCATGGAATGGCCGTGACTGCCCACATGGCCGGAGAAGCCGGCGATGCCGCTCATGGGGCAGATGATGAGCGGCGCCGCGCTCTTCCCGCCCGAGTAGCTCAGGCTGAAGTAGGGCCGCACGGGCCCGCAGAAGGTGGCGTGCGAGAACGTGAAGGTGTGACACCGCTCGGTCACGTTGTAGAAGGAGACCTCTCCCGCGTCATAGTCCAAGAAGATGCCCACCCGCTGGAGAGGGGTCCGCAGGGGCAGGGCCGTCATCGGGGAGGTCAGGGCCCAGTACTCCTTGCCGTACCACAGGGACACGGCCCAGAATCCGTTCTGGGGGGCCGAGGTCACGCCGCCCTTCCTGCACACGGAGTCTTCGCACACGCCGATCGTCCACTTGGCCTTGTCGCCCACCTCCACCTCCCAGTAGTGGCGGCCGGCGATGAAGCACGGGGAGCCCAGCACGCAGGGGAAGAGGTTGAAGCGCTCGGGGTTGTCGGGCAGGTCCTGCTGGAGGTAACTGTAGCGCACCTGCCGCAGGTTCTCGGACAGGATGAGGCTGGGGTAGGCCGTGTCGGGATCCAGCGTCACGTCCACTGCGGAGACAGAGCAAGGGGCGGGTCAGCCAGGGGCCGCGGGAACCCGCCCCGAATCACCGTGTGGACTGGCCGGCAAGATCAAGCCGGTGGTAACGTGTGGACGTGGGGAAAACACGCTGGAGCCAGGCAGCTCGGGCCGAGGGCAAGGGACTGAACTTGTATTCGTCCGCCCATCTTTCAATCCCGCTTCAGTCCCTCCTTTCCACAGAATCTGGACTCATCCTACCCAGGCGCCAGGATCTTCTTAAATCTAGGTCAGGACCCGCATTGCTGTCAAAGTGACGGGGTGTTTGGGTTGCTGTGAGGGTGCACAAGCGTCACGCTTCCCTTCCCTTCTCTCCGTCACTAGCCCTGGTATGGAGAGCTGCCTGCAGTCACTGGGCAAAGCTCTCTTGCTTCGAAAGCACAAGGACACGGCGGGAAGGGCGCTTGCCTTGCACACGGCCAACCGGGGTTCGAGCCTCCGCATCCATCCGGTCCCTGAGCACGGCCAGGAGTACTTCCTGGGTGCAGAGGTAGGAGTACCCGAGCACTGCCAGTTGGGAGCCCAAAACAAAAAACCCGAAACTACTGGGCCACGTTCTCTCCTGTGTTCCTCACCTCGTGTTCAGGAGGAAGATCCTCCAACCTTATCCTTCCAAGGCTGAGTGCAGACAGGCTAAGATCCGGGACAGGAAGTGCGTGGAGGCCACCTGTCCTGGGTCAACTCTACAACAGCCTCCAGGTCTCGGCTCAGGTCACGGGTAAACCGGAGCCTGGAACTCCCAGGGCAGGACGCCTCACGCGCTTTCATCCCCTCTACACACTGCAGTCTGGGACCGCAAACACATGAAAAGCGACCGGGGTGTTTTGGAGTGGTGGCCGGTCGCTTTTACAACGCGTGGGACCTGAAGATGGAAACTTAGGCCGTTTTCGTTAGCGCTCGCGGCAGTGTTAGGCTCGGAGGTCTTTACTCCTTTCCCTGGACCTTCTGCCTCCTGTCACCTACCTGAGTATAACTGAGCCTCTCTCAATTCTGAAAGAACAAAAGAGAAAAGAGCAGTTACGGCAGGCCTAGAGCATCCCAGGAGCACCTGAGGGGGCTCAGCTCAGAAGCTTCCGGAAGCCGGGCCCGCCTTAGAAACCTGACTACGTGAGCCACGCCCCCACTTCTTCACACAATTGCTGACTCCACCCTCCAGACACACGCTGGAAGGAAGAGGGACGGGCCACTTTGGCACAACTACCACCACAGGCCTGACTGGGCGACAGAGGTGTGAGACCAGGGACTGAAGAGTCCACGGACGTGGCAGCTCTGCAGGGGAACCCTGGTCCCCAGGCCCTGCTGGCCATCCCTGCTCCCGGCGGAGGCTTGGGCAGCACGCACTACGTCAGGGCAAAGCACACTACCTAAAAGGCAGGCGGTCTGTAACGGACAAAGCATTCACGCACATACTTTCTCAATCACCCTCTAAGAGGCAGGAGAAAAGTCAAAATTAATGGGAAGAGATCAAGGAGGGTCCGTTCTAAAGCAAGTGCACAAGTGCTCTCATCCAGTCCAAACGGGGTTTCTCTCCACACGCTCTGCTTGGGGGACCATGTAGGCCTCTCCTAAATCTAGATCGCTAGCAGTCCAGACAGGACACGTCTGCAAAGATACAACGCGAACACGGAGTCAGCACACACAGTACAGGAGAGGACCAGGAAGCAAACGGGCAAGAGGCTCTCTCACGGAAGGATTCCAGATCCCACACGCCTGGCAGGGGCCGCAGCGCTGAGGAGACGGCCAGCTGCCGAGGGAAGGAGGCGCCTGAGGAAGAGCTGGTCTAAGGACCTGGGACTCTAGGTCTAAAGGCACTGAAACAGACAGCGCCAAGACAGGAACTACTGTTCCCTCTCCAAGAGCAGCAGCCTGCTGTGCTGACGACCTGTCAGGAGCGGCAGGCCCTAGTCCAGACACTGATCCCGCCGTTCTCTGCTCCCGCTTTCCCTGGAGGGGCTGCCTCAGGGGTGCTGGTCACACAGATGCCCACCAGCACGAGAGCTGGAAATACTGGCTTCAGGGGAATGTTATCTGGGACAATTTCTGTTCACTCTCTTCCCCAAGAAAAATAGAAACGAACTCTTTCTGTACTAATTCATTTTGGAACGCCTATTTCCCCCGTCAAGGTAGATGAGAGAATGGCCTCCCAAGAGGCTATTAGCTAAAAACCACTCCCAAAGCAAACGATACGAAATACCAGGGAAGGCTGGCCTGTGGGGCGACCCTCCCCTCCTCCCCCACTTCTAATGCGAATGTGCACCTCCGAGGAAACCGGCACCAAAAGCCATTAAGTAAAGAAATTTACCTTGGATTTTCTCCATATCCGACTGCATTTTTTCTAAAGGGAGAAAAGAAGATCTTGAGTTTGCATTTCCCTCTGGATGGAAAACACCCCCCACAGCATTCCGGGCTCCACACAGACCTTCAGAGGCTAAGTCCTCCGCCTCACGGAGCTCTATCTCACATTACCTGTGAATTGCTTCAGACTCTCGGTCAAGAACAGGCATTTCTGGGCAAAAATGTGGATTTTCTCCTGCAGATCTGGAGGTGTGATCCAAGGTTCCGGGATCCTGATCCTTTCAGCCCTGAGTTCAAAGAGGAAAACAAAACACAAGTGACCCCTTGTAGCCCAGCCATTACACAGGCCAGCGAGGAGCCTGCTCCGGACTCTTCTTGATTAGGTCCCCACACTTATTTGGCCTGCATCCCGCTTTCAGAAAAAACATTCCTCAGCGCCCTTCTGGAAATCGACCTAAAGCCAACAAACAGGAGGTGTCCCGAAGCTGCAGCCAGACTCTTAAGACCCTCCGCCCCATCATTCCATGGTTCCTTAACCATGGACGATAGGGTCCCTCTGTGGTCCCTGTGACAGATGTCATCAAAGGGGAATCCCAGGGAAGGAAGCCTGGTCTTAGGGGCCCTGGTCAGGAAAGAGCTGAGAATCGGAGGCGACCTGGCGCTTCCTCATGTGAGCAGAAGTGCCCAGGCTAAGCGACTAGAGCTCCGAGGAGGGAGTCGACATTTGGGAGCTTGTGGTGTTGGGAAAAAGGTGCACAGGAGGTACAACTAACAACAGCAAGTCACAGTGCCTCAATAGGAACAGTAAAGCCGGGTTCAGGGACTAAGACTCCAGGCCACCGGGCAGCAGCTCAGACAGGCCGGCCCTTCCCGTCTCCCTGCCCGCTTGGGGTCCTGGCTGTCACGCCCACCATCTGCCATCTCAGCACATCCATCGCCTAGAACCAGAGACTCCCAAAGGAATCTCAAGATGGATTAGCTCCCTACAGAGATATCTCTGGACCCCAACTGTCTACAATTTTAGAATTCCAGAAGCACGTGGTCCTGTGACCTCCCATGATATTCATAATAAGCAACAGAAAATAAATTATCTAACATCTGCCTCTGGGAGGCAGGCTTGAATGGTGGTGGGAAAATATAAAAATAAAATTTAAAAAAGTAAGAAAGAAAGTAACCAATGTTGCCAGGAACCACCACACAGGACTGGCAATGCTCGGGGATCATTCCTGGGGGGCTTGGGGGACCATATGGGATGCCGGGAGTTGAAGCTACATTGGCCACATGTAAGGCAAGCGCCCCACTCACTGTACTATTTCTTCAGATCTCTCAATTAAGCATAAGTCTCAGGTCCATGAAATTCCCAAGTTTCCTGTCTTGCAGAACTCACCAAAACCCGAATGAGAGAAAATTCCAGTCTCTTCGGACTCTACTGCCCAGTGAGGGCAGAACTAGACTGGCATGGAAAAGGGACAGGTGGCTGGAGGCAGTACAGTGGGTAAAGCACGTACTTTGTACTGGGCAAACAGGGCTTCAATCCCTGCTGTCGTAGGGACCCCTGCCCACTTCCCAGGAGTAAGTCTGAGACTTTACCGGGTGTGGCCCACAGCTCAAGAAGAAACCAATAAAATGGGTCAGGTAAAGGGCCACTTTGCTGGGGTCATCTGGTGGAACTCGGACAAACTTTAGTTTGTCTCCACCCCTGGGAGCCTTAAGAACCTCAAGATTTTCTGTTTGTGTTCCTGCAGTGTTTAGGGACCAGAGAGTACAGAGGACTGAACCCACAGCTCCATCCTCTGAAACACATCCCCAGCCAAGGACCTCAATTCTGTCACCTTGATTCAATCTGTAAGGCCCTCCTGGCCCCCCCAACATCTCAGAAGTTCCTGGACTGTCAATCTGCATTTTCTAGGGAATTTTCATCACCCCACATCTTATTTTAGCACCTGATGCCAGTTTCTCTCCAGGCCCGCCTGAGCACGGCACTGAGGCTGCCCCATGGGCTCTCGCCTCTGTGTGCGAGCACAGCCGGCCCTGGCTTCTTGTCATCAGCATGTGGTGAGCCCGGGGGACTCTTTCTCTCCATTGATGCCAGTGGAGCAACAGGAGACTCCTAGCTGCATACTGGCCTTAGGCCCCTTGTCCCCCCAGTACTGAACAAAGAGGCGGGGGCGAGACAGTGAACTGCCCAGCATGGCACCGGGAGGCGGCCCTGGCAATGTGGACAAACCTGTCAGTTTCGAGCCTTTCCCAGGACTGTCCTCAAGGACCATCAGCACCTCCTGGGGCTCCCTCTACTCCACCCCACCCCAGCCCGGAACCCCGGGTGTGACCAAGAGGGACTGCAGTTCACGCCTGTCTGCAGCCGTCTATGTCACCTGGGCCCTTCTGGGTTTTGGCAGTGCCAGCTGTGGGCGAGGTCGAGCGCAGGGGAAGCAACTGTACCTGTTGAGTGTGTCCCCGATGTCCTGTGAAAGAAAGGAAAGACAAACCGTGAGGTCATCGTTCTTTGGTTCTCTTCGCAGACGTCTGCTGAGAACCCACCTGTAGCCTAGCCCTCCCCGGAGAAATGACAATTCCTCAGAGGTGAGGAGTGACAAACAGGTTCAGCACAGGGATGTCAACCACTTTCTGGGTCTTCTTGACAACAACGTGGTGATTTCAGATCGGCTAACTCAAGCCCCTTCCCCAACAAGGGCCTACTGCTCGGAGGCTTTGGTGTTGCAGTCCCGTAATTTCACACACACAGAAAAACTACTAGACAGATCAAACGATCTTAATTTTAGAATCTTTTCAGAATCACTTAATATTATACACCCTTATATTCTGAGTATATTGCCTAAGAACAAGTACATTTTCTTATGGAACTACCTACAGCAGACCTCGATCTCAAAGTGAAGACTGATAAAATATACTGAGCTAATCCATAAGCCGTTCTTTTCTTGGTTTGGAGGGGCGTTCCCAACGGTGGCAGTGCCAGGGGACAGAGTCTGGGGCTCCAGAACAAGAAGCACAGGGGAAACTCAGCAATATTGGACGATTCAACACTCAGGCCAGAAATGGTTTCAGCCCAGTGTTGATGGAGACCAAATGGTCTGGGTGGAAGGCCAGGGTCATTACAGGTCTAACTCACGGCCCTGCTTCTGCAAGGCATGCACTGACTCCTGAATTTACAAATTATCTCCAAAAAAACCCAGTTTCGCTTTCCTATTCTTTAAGCTATACACCCTAGAGTGCTCGGGGCGCTGGCCCTGCACTCGGGAGTTACTCTTGAAGGGACTCAGGGGGGCACGTAGGGTGCATGCCAGGCAAGACCCCTCCCAGCTGTACTATCTCTCCGGAAGCTTTCTAATTCTTGCACTTACAATCTTTTTCTCTTTTAGTTAGAACCGCCAGCACAGTGTGAAGGCAGCACCTGGCTCAGACCCAGCCTCAGTGGAAAATGCCCCGCGAATTTCTCCAGTAAGCTTCAGTCCTCTCTCCTCTCCCAGGGCATGTCTCCTCGGATTCTCACAGTACCCCGTCCCGTGAAGGAGTACCGCAAACCCCACAGTGCGCTCACCCTGGCGGCACATCCGTAACCGCACAGACAGCAGGCACAGGAGCCGAGCGCGACCTGGGCAGGTGACGTGCACATCTCCGCGGCCTGTTTTAAGGTTCACAGCAGCCCAGGGCACCACGGCCAAAGAGTAGAAACTAACCAAGCGCTATCAACTCACAGATGTGTGAACAAAACGGGCACAAACCCACACCAGGGAGTACTGTGCCAGTGCTGACACCTGCAACAATGTGCAACGAGGCTTGAGAAAGTCCACCCGAGGGCCCTGAGATGTGTGCCCTGCCTGCAGCTGACTCTAGGTCACCCTGGGCACTCATCGTGGCCCACCTGAGAGCTGGCCACGGCTCCACGCGCACCAGATCCCACACCCAAGCCCAGACAGAGAAGACCGGTTGGCAGGACGCCTATTAAATGGGTACGAGGTTTCCTGCTCGGGGGACAGCGTTCTGCAAACTGAGAGTGGGACGGGTGCACGAAGCTGCCGATTTCCTACACACCCGGAAGTGGCTGGAGTAACATGCAGGGGGCATGTCCTCTTACACTGCCCGAAGCAACCCAGAGCCAGAGATAGACCCTGAAACCCTGTGGGTGTGGCCCCCAAACAAAAATAAAAATGGGGGTCCGGGAGTCGAAGACCAATGAAATTATGGCAACTGGTTGGATTACAGTATGGGCTGGGCATCACGTACTGCTGTTTCAGTTCGTAAGTTTGACGGTCTGGTCATTATACAAGAAATGTACTTGTTCTGAGGAAACATACCAAGAATATAAAAATGCAACAACCAGGGCTGGAGAAAAGAGTACAGCGGACAGGGCACCCCATATGGTCTCCTGAGCATTGCCACGAGTGATCCCCGAGTGCAGAGCAAGGAGTTATGAGCACCGGTAGGTGTGGCCCAAATACCAAAAGACAAGGGAGCAAGCGATCGCGGTAACGACCATCTATCTAGTGGTACTGAAGGTGGCGTCCAATGACATGGTCAGTCTGGGATGAGGACGTAAGACTCCTCTCTGCACAAGCAGCTTTTGTGTGTCTGAAATGAAGTGACAGATTTCAGATCAAGTCAGGGAGAGGGCCCAGGAGATGACAGGGTAGGCAGGGCATTTGCCATGCTTGTGGCCGACCCAGGTTCCATCCCCGGCATTCCATATGACCCCTTGTCCCCCGCTGGGAGTGATCCCCGAGTGCAGAATCCTTCATCAACTACGAAAACTTCAGACATGGAACCAGTAACTGCTGGACTGAGCGGGCCAGGTGGGACGCTCGTCGTGCACATGCAAAACCCGGATTCAAGTCCGGGCACCACCTACGAGCCCCACCCGCCCAGCCGGGGTCCCACCTGCAGGAGTTCCCGCGTCGGCTGCTGCTGCTTCTCCTCCAGCTGGGCGATGAGGCCGCTGAGGTGGGAGATGTTGCAGGAGAACTGCGTGATGGCGCCGTTGATGCTGTTGTAGATGGCCAGGTCCAGCTCCTCCAGGCGCGCCAGGAGGCGGTACTCGTGCTCCTTGAGCGCGTGGTAGAGCTGCTCGAACTCCCACACGATCTTCTCCCGCTCCATCTGGGTCAGGCTCTGAGCGAGGACAGGAAGGGGCCTGAGCAGAGGGGACTCCCCCACCTCGATGCCGCTGCAAGAGGGCCCCGAGGCGCTCTGGACACCCAATAGGCATCTTGGCCGTTGGCGGTAGTCCTGGGGCCAGGCTTTTGAGAGGGGGTGATGGCGAGGAGGGAGGAGTGGGCACCTGTGTCCCACAGAAGTCAGGCTCCCATCACCTGCGGGCGGAGCGGCAGCTCACCTTGGTTCTCTGAAGACCGGAAGGCGGGCCGGCAAGACAGCACCAGGCTGCACGCTCAGGTTTAATCCCCAGCACCCAGGTGATCCCCTCAAACCTGCCAGGAATGATCCCTGACCACAGCCTGGTATGACCCCGAAACAAACAAACAAACAAACAAAATTTAAAAATTAAAGAATAGGAGGGGGGGCCAAAGAGATAGTAAAGTAGGTAGGGTGCTTGCCCTGAAGGCAGCAGACCGGGCTCAATCCCCAGCACCCCAGATTGTCCCCCAAGCCTGCCAGAGGTGATCCCTGAATGCAGAGCTGGGGGTAAGCCCGGAGTATAGTCAGGTGTGCCCCCAAACCCAAAGTGAAGGGGGAAAAAAAAAGACCAGGAGAGCTTTCAGGACCAAGGAAGAGGGAGAGAAAACCAGTGGTTCTTTCTGGTTGAAGCCAAGCCGGAGGTCAGAGAAGGAACCTGGGACCTGGCTTGCGGGACAGGCTGAGAGGGGCACGGAGCCTGGAGCTTACGCAGGGAGGTTCTGGGAACACAGTCTGGGAGGGCAGCACACCAGCCCTGCCAGGAACGCGCACCTTCTCTCTGGGCTCTCGGGGGCCGAGCACTGGCCTGGGGCGTGGCTCCCTCTTGGTGATTTGCTCGCCAGAGCCTGTTGGCCCTTCCTTCTGCAGCCACTTCGCGACAGGGATGTTCTAGCTGTGCCCTTTGTGACTCGGTGGTGTCTGGACCAAGACCCGGACCTTGTACAGATGAAGCCAGTGCTCCGTTGTGCGCTATGCCCAGCCCTGAAGCTCTGTTCCAGACAAAGGTCAGCCAGGTCCCTTTGTGTAGTCTCTTGCAGTAAAGGTTTATGGGGATAACGCCACATACACTCACTATTTATGGCCGCGGCTGCTGGAACGGAGACGGCAGGACCCAGAGGGTTTGTTGGTGCCTATTTCAACTCGAATCCTTCCCTCCAGCCACCCTTCCGGGTCACTCACTAGCGACACGCAGAGGACCTTTGCTGAGAATTTCTCATTTGCTCCTAACCCCTCAGCTGGACAAGTCGAAGTCACAGCAATAACAGAAACAAAAGATGAGTTGAGGGAGACCTTAAAGGGCAGTTAGTTGAGCGCCACCCAAAAAGGGCGGGTGCTACTGCCATCTTAGCTGGGTAACTGTGCCCAGCTTGGGATGTTCCATACTCAGGACACAGCACCCCTTCCCCAACTGCCTCACTCGAAAGACATTCAGAGGCGCCAGAGATGCAGCTCAGAAGCACAGTGCCCGCCTTGCATGTGAGCTCTAGGAGGGAGGGAGAGGGCGCAAGGAGGGCTCAGGGATAACTCCTGGCAGGTTTGGGATGGGACACCAGGAACGAACTTGCAAGGCAAACCAACACCTGACCCCCTGGGCTCCTGGTCTAGGCTCCAGCCCCAGAGGGCAGTTACTGACTTGGCTGGAGAACCACCAGCCTAGAACCTTCCATCCTACAGATAAGGAAACTGAAGGCCAGAGACTGCATTGCTCTCTCCATCTCTACCGCCAGCTGGTGCTTCTCGGACAAGGGCGGAATGGCAGAGCCCCCTTCTCAGACCTCCCAGACAGTGCCACCGTGCGACATGCGTCCCGCAGGCTCTTGGGGAAGGTTCTCCGTTCTCCACATCTATTTCCTTTTGGGGGAGTTGTTTTTTAGGCAACAACTGACAGTGCTCAGGGCTTGCTCCTGGCTGTGAGCTCAGAAGACCACTGAAGCTGGGGAAGCCAACTGGTGGCCCCGCTAGGACACCCCCACATAATTGGGCGCTGCAGTAAATCCCCCCCCATCCTCGAATCTTTTATTACACATCCTCTACCCCAGCCAGGACCAAACGTTTTCTCGCTAGACACCACTAGCTTACATGGGAGAGAATACAGGGATCGTGCATGCAGCCAAGCGTGGTATGATCCACACCCCCGTGACCCCTGCAGGAGTAGCCCCGTGGCACCAAACCATCAAAAGGAAAGGGGAACACCAGGAGGTTCACTCCATGGCTTGAGACCAGCCGCACATACTAGGGGAAAAGGCAGCTCAGATAGAGAAGGGGGCACCAAGTAAAGGGTGTTGGGAGGATCCTCCCAGGATGGGAGAAGCATGCTGAAAGTAGACTCTAGACCGAGCATGACTGCCACTCAATGCCTCTCTTGCAAACCACAGGACCCAAAAGGAGAGAGAGAACAAAAGGGAATGTCCTGCCACAGAGGCAGGGTGGGATTGGGAGGTGGGAGGAATACTGGGAGCACTGGAGGTGGAGAATGGCACTGGTGGAGGGATGGGTACTCGATCATTGTATAACTGAAACCCAAGCACAAAAACTTATTAAGTCCACAGCTGTACCTCATGGTGTTTCAATAATAAAAATTTAAAAAAAAAGGGGGTGGGGGGACTGTTATTAGTCTACAAGTTTCCTTTACATGGAGATGGGTATGGGCTGTCTCTCCATTTCTCCCAGGAGCATGTGGCCGCACAACATCCCATACTATTCACAACAAGCAATACAAAATAAATCATTTACATCTGCCTATGAGGCAGGCTTTAGTGATGGTAAGAAAATTCAACACAATGGTGGAGGGCACCTGTAATGATGGTGGGATTGATGCTGAAATATTGAGTGTAATCAATTACTGTGAACGACTTCATGAAAATAAAACTGAAAAACAAATGTTTTCTTTTCAAGTACAAACAGCTTTAATGGGAGAATATAATATTTTTATTTAAAAAAAAAAAAGCTTTTAGGGGCTGGAGACACTGCAGTGGGTAGGGTTAAGGTGGTGGCCTTGCCCGAGGCTGTGCGGCTCTCCGAGGTATGATCCTTTTGATCCCCCAGCACCAGCAGGATGATTCCTGAGTGCAGAGCCAGGACTAAGGGCTGGGCAGCCATGGGGTGTGCCCCCCTCCACCCCCCCAATCAAAACAAACAACAAAAAACTTTTAGTATTTTTCTTCCCCTCCCCCCAAAAAACCTTCAGAGACCTAAGTGGTGATGTATGTTATTGACGTCGTGGCTTTTGGGTTTACTTTTGAGTGTTCAAAGAAAACCTCAGCTACCGTGAGCACAACAGTACGGAGGCAGGAAGTCATTACCCCCGAGAGAAGGGACAGCAGGGAGGGGACACAAAGTGCCACGCGGCTGCCTGTGCAGTCAGCTCGCTGCCACCAGCCCTGTCAAAGACCAACCCTGGTCAATACAAAGATCTCGGTGGAAGAGGCCTCCAGGTCTGACCCCCAAATGGAGGAAGCCCTTGGTTCTCCAGGCTGAGCTCTCCACGGCCACGCCTCTACTGACCCACCTTTGGGGCAGGTGAGCAGCACAAATGCCTGGATGCAACATCAGCCTCCCAACAAGCAAGACGGAAGAGGAGCATGCACCGGGGCCAGAGTGACAGTACAGCAGGTAGGCCGGTTGCCTTGCACGTGGCCTACCTGAGTTTGATCCCTGGCATCCCTCATGGTCCCTCCTCGGCTAAAAAAAAAAAAGGGGGAGGGGTGGCACATGCCCTTACCAAGAGTTCTGCGCGTGCCTGCTCGCCCTGAGCCCGCCGCCTCTTCTTTAAGTCTTTCACTCTTTTGAGATGGTCCAGCTGATTCTGAATTTGCTCCTGAGAAAAGCAAAAACAACGGGGGTGGTCCAGATCAGGCCGGGTCACCACCTCACACCCCTTGCTTTCCCTGGGGGGGGGGAGGGGAGAAGCTGACCTTGCCCCGCCCCCCACCACCAATAGTCCAGGGTCTCACCACACCAGGGACTCCAAAGGGGGGGAGGATCACTGCTCTGTGATCAGCCTCAGGGAGGAAAACGCAAGACCGTGTAAGCGGACAGACCCCGAGGAAGGGGGGTAGTTCCCTCCCCCAGAAGCCTGAAGGAACTCTTGATGTTGCTCTTTCTTCTGGGGGGGGGGCGGGCAGGGGCAGGCTCCCGCCGGGCCAGCGTTTTTGGGATGGTCATCGCTGTCGGGCATACGTATGGGAAAGCAACCCCACATGCCAAGCGGTGAACTGGGCAAGAGGGTGGCCCCACCGACACCCCTAGGGACCCGTTTGCCCCAGGGGACCCTCCCCCTACCAGACGCTGCCATGGCCAGCGCGAGGCCACGATTTCCAGGGGGCGGGGTGTGTGTGTGTGTGGAGTCCTGCCTGCCCATACCCGTGTGTATGTGTGTGTGTGTGTGTGTTGGGGGAGGGGGGGATCCTGCCTGCCCATACCCGTGCGTATAAATGTATGTGTTTGTGTGTGTGGGGTCCTGCCTGCCCGCACCCGACCGTTCACCCCTGCCCGCTCACATCCCAGGGGGCGGGTGTGTGTGTGCGTGTGGGTCCTGCCTGCCCGCACCCGTGTGTATGTGTATGTGGGTCCTGCCTACCCACATCCGACCGGTCACCCGGTCACATCCCAGGGGGCGGTGTGTGTGTGGGGGGGGAGGGGGATCCTGCCTGCCCGTGTGTATATGTGTGTATGTGTGTGTGTGTGGGTCCTGCCTGCCCACACCCGACCGTTCACCCCTGCCCGCTCACATCCCAGGGGGCGGTGTGTGTGTGTGTGTGGGGGGGGGGGGGGTCCCGCCTGCCCGTGCCTGTGTGTATCTGTGTATGTGTGTGTGTGTGTGTGTGTGTGTGGTCCTGCCTGCCCGCACCCGACCGTTCACGCCACTCCCCCAAGCCCCTGCCGGCTCACATCCCAGGGGCTCTGCGGCCCCCCTCGGGCTGCACAAAAAAAGCTGTTGCTTCTCCTCAAGCTCCCAGGACTGCAGAGAGTGTGTGGGGGGGGATGGGATGGGGAGAGGCAAGTGCCGGGACGAGCCTTTCAGGGAGGGGGTCCGTCGGGGGCGCCCTCGAGGGGTGTGTGTGTGTGTGTGTGTGTGTGTGTGTGTGTCCCCACCACACACACCGAGTCGCGCGGGTCTCCCGGGCTCCTCCTCCTCCTCCTCCTCCTCCGGAGGGGCCGAGCACCAGGGGCGCCGGGAGGACCACGGCTGGGGCGGGGGCGGGGCGGCGGGAGGACCCCCTCGGGGCGGCCGGCCGGCCGGGGGAGGAAATGACGGCGGGCCGGCGGCCCCGCGTCCGGCTCCGCCCCGGCCAGCTTCGCCCCGGCGGCGGCCCCGCGCGCGGCCTTTGTGTGGCCTCACCTTGAAGCCCTCCACGGCCTCCTCGAGCGGCAGCACGCTGTGGCCGCGGTGCTCGCGCGAGCGGTCGCACACCACGCAGATGGGCATCTGGTCCTCCTCGCAGTACAGCTTGAGCGGCTCGCGGTGCTTCTCGCACACGCCCATCTCGCCGCCGGGCCCCGACGGCCGCTCGGTGCGCAGCTGCTTCACCAGCTGGGTCACGTTGGCCAGGTGCCGGTTGGGCCGCATGTGGCGCTGCGGGAAGGTCTCCCGGCACTGCGGGCACGACACGTTGGTCTCGGCCGCGCCCCAGCAGCGGGCCAGGCACGCGCAACAGATGTTGTGGCCGCAGTCGAGCATCATGGGCTCGGCGAAGTACTGCAGGCACACGGGGCAGGTGGTCTCCTGCTGCAGGCACTCGGCCACGCTCCCGGAGGCCATGGCGCCGGGGCTGCGGGCCGCTGGGGCATGGGCCCCCGGCTCCGGGCCCCGCGCCGCGCTCCCGTCGCCGCCGCCGCCGCCGCCGCCGCCGCCGCCGTCGCCCCGCGGCGGGCCGAGGGCGGCGCCTCCCGGGCCCGGCACCTCCGAGGGCCCGGGGCGCGACAGCGTCCGGCGACGCGAACTCGGGAAGCCGGCGGCCCCACACAACGCGGCGGTGGCGGCGGTGCCGGTGCGGGTCCGGCGGGCCGAACCGGCGCTCGGAGCGCGCGACACGACGTGGCCGCGTCCCACCGGAGCGCGGCCGCCTCGCAGGCCCCACCTCGGCGGCGCGAGCGGAAGGGGCGGGGCGGGGGCGGGGCTCGGGCCTCTGTGACGCGCCTGCGCCGTGCCGGGAGGCGGGCCCCTCCCCCCGCCCCCCGCGCGACGCGGCTTCCGGTGGCGGCTCCGGCTCCCTCGCGCGACTGCGCCGGCGCCGCGACCCCGCCCCCCTTTCCCTTCCCTCCCCCTCTCCCTCCCCCCACGGAGGGTCGCTGGAGGCGGCGGAGACCGGGTCACGCCGAGCCCTCCCGGGCCTCAGTTGAGGTTCCGGTCCGGTGCCGCGGCCGCCGCTCGGGCGGGACCGGGCTGCTGAGGAAGAAGCGGGCGACCCGCCCTCAGCAAGCCCGGGGATCCCCCGCGCTCTCGGAAGCGTTTTATTAGCGACCCCCCAACCTCCCCCCCAATTGACAGGTTTTGTTGGGAAGTGATCATGCTTAATAGGTCCAGAATCGCCTCAGGGCAAACCCAGGTCCGCTACTTCCGGCCCCTGCCTGAAGTGGTTCCACCCCTGCCGAGCCTCAGTTTCCCCGCTGGTGCAATGTGTTGCGCGGCCGCCAGAAAGAGGATTTCGGCGCATCTTTTCTTTTTTCGAACCTTAGAGGGTTGTCTCATCCGGTAAAATCATACTGCCCGGAAGCCCACCGAGTGGTACCGCAAGTGCTTGCCCGGTCCCCAGTTGTAGGGAGATTTATCCCACGGTGGCTTTATCATCGTTTGCCTTGATCCCTCATCCCCATCTTCGAATTTCCTTTGCCTGCTGTGCTCTTAGTCTCCCGTATCTGATTTCTTTTTCTCTGGTCTCCGTCTCCAAAGGCGCAAGAGCCTAAAGAAAGACTTGAACAACCTCAAACCCCCACGCCCCTCTGATCCTCCGTCCTCAGTATGAGGCTTTGAAATCTCAGGTTCCTATTAAAGCAAATATAAGAGTTGACTTTCACCAGGAAGACACCAGAAAGCCTCTCTGGTTAAGGGGTGGTTGGAAATATTGAGAGCGTTTCTCTGAACTTATTGTGAAGGATAGGGGGCTTGAAACCTTAATCAAATTATTATTTGTAGAGACACAGGAAATGAAGGAATTGATTAACCACCCTGTGGCCCACTGGCCTGTAACCCACCCTGCCTAAAAATGTGCTTCCTGCTGTCTTTCCCTTTAAAAATGGCTTCTTCACCATGCAGACAAGATTGGCTTCTTTGGGGGGTCATGAGTGTACCACCACCTCACATTGCCATCTCCCGAATAAATCTGTTGTACTTGCACCAACTCTTACCTAGTGCCTTCAAGCTGCCAATACCCAAATTTAGGTCCAATAACACCAATAGTCCCAGCCCATTTCCAGAAAAAAGTAGAATTGGATTTCAACTGGACCACACCATAGTCTGGCCTTTATAACTGTTCTTACTTAATCATTTGTAAAATGACAGTTGTAGGCACAATAACTGAATGTCACTTAAATAACAAGGGACTCAATAGGAAAATGTGGGGACGTTGATGACTAAGAGGTTGAATATACAGACTGAGCTGCAGTCTCTTATTTCTAGCTGAAAGTATCCATTGAGAACATGGACCCAGGGTACTGCCAAATATTTAGATTTTCAAGAGAAAGCAGAAACGTGTTTTATGTAGAATTTACTGACTTTAAAGAGTTAGAAATCGGTTGAAGTACAGAGATAAAGTACAGTGGGTTGGGTGCTTGCCTTGCTTGAGACTAACCCAGGTTCAATCTAGAGTATCCCATATGGTCTGAGCACCACCAGGAGGGATCCCTGAATGCAGAACCAGGAGAAACTTCTGAGCTGCTCTGAGTTTGGGGGAAAAAAAAAAGTAATCATCTAAAAATGGTAGAAATCATCCCTGTAAGATGAAATTGGTTTCCTAATCTCCATTTTGGGGTTTGAGTACAGCTGATTATTTGATTTGGGGGTACTCCCGGTGGTGCTCAAAGCTTACTTCTGTCCCCGTGTTCAGGAATCACTCATGGCAGAGCTCAAAGGACCATAGGGGGGCCAGGGATCATACCAGGTTCCCCTGCGTATAAGGCAAGTTCTCTACCAGCTGTATTATCTCTCACCCCAGTTACTTATTTTAATAGGTGCTTATCAATCTTGCCAAAATATGGAAAGGACTATTTGTTATTTTATAGCAGGCTTTACTCCTTCCTTAATATTTTATAATAGGCCATAACATGCCTAGCTAAAAGATTCTTGCCAGACCTCCTTGTATTCAGTCCTGTGGTAAATTCATAATGGTAATGCTAATGCTACAGTATGAAAACTTGTCCAGTTGATCATGGATATCCAGGAATACAATCAACTCATAACTTCCTCCACGCATCAACACAGTCTTGAGCTTGTGGTGGCCAAGGAAATCGAGGTGGGAATTATGAGAAAGCTTCTTAAGTCAACTCAACTGGGAATTGTACCTTTAAAAAAAAAATTTTTTTTTGTTCCTTTTTAATCTTCTCTATTTCTTCTACTTCAAGCCTGGACTGTTACATCCGTGATAATAAGAGCTTGAGCAACTATCTGGACCATGAGGCAGTCTGGAAGGTGAAACCCAACACAGACATGGTATTGTGAAAAGCACAAATACCCTGGCTTTTTTGTCATTGCAGCATGTCTGAGTCTCAACATCGCACAGGTGAGGAAGACTGAAGCCATTATCTTGTTTAAGCCATTTATTTGGATGTTCTGTGTATGCAGCAGAAACTAAACCCACCTGATGAAACACTTTATCTTCTCTTTTCTCTTCTCTCTGTCTCTGTCTCTGTCTCTCTCTCATCCATCAGTCCATCACTGAGTTACATCCCCAGCCCCCAAAGCACAGTTACTGTTTTTTTTTCTTTTTTTTTTTTTTATGGTTGTACTCAGGGTTTTTACTTCTGCCTTTGCACTCAGGATCACCCCCGGCAGGGCTGGAGAGGACCATATAGGGTGCTGGGGATTGAACCTGGGTTGGCTGTGTGTAAAGTCAGGGCCTTTCCCTTTGTTCTATAACTTCATCCCCTAAAGTACATGTTTTCTTAATAAAATATTTAAAAAATGAATCCCTACCTCCTTTTATTGGCCCTAAGAATACCCTAAGGATTCACAGAGCACTTGACCATCTTTATCTTACTGTTCTGGAGTCATTTGACTCTCTTGGTCTCTCCCTTGACTCTTTGTTCCAGTACACTGATAAAACCTAAGTTGTTTCTGTTCCCTGGGTCTCTAAGTTGCCTTTTCCAAGGGCTACTAAAGTTTTCATGGAAAAACTAGAAAAAGAAACTCAGGGGTGGAGAAATAGCTCAACAGGCTGGAATACATGCTTTTGATCCCAAACACCAAGCATACTCATTTGGTCCCCCAAGCAGGAATGACCCTTGAGCACAGAGCCAGGAGTTTGCCCTGAGCATTGTTGGGTTTGGCCCCCAAACAAAACTAAACAAAACAAGTTTCTAGGCTCATAGAGGACTTTTAGAGGCAAAGAGGGACAAAAAGAAAACCAAGCACTATAATGTGAAAAATGCTATGGAGAAAACTGAACCAGGATATGACGGCTTCAGAGTGCTAAAGACATTATTTCATTTTGTATGTGTGATTGGGAAGTCTCTCTAATGAGATTGTCAAATAACTGCTGTCACTTTCAGTCTCAGAAAGGAATGTCACAGGGCATTTATCTCAGAGAAAACATGTATTCACACAAAAACCTGCATAAGGTTTTTAAATTTTAATAGCCCATAAGCCCTTTGGTGTTAATGATTAGATAAGTGGGCATATCCATATCATGACCTGCTTCACGGCAATAAAAAGGAATGAACTATTAAAACACACCCCAGTTTAGATGTATGTCAAGGGAATTATGTTGAGGGGAGAAAAAGTCAGTCTCAAAGGTTACAGTCCATATGATGCCCTTAATAACATTGTTTAAATGACAGAGTCATAAAGATATAGAAAATAATAGAAGTTGTCACAATTTAGGGAGTGGCAAAGGGAGGCAGTCTGTGACCATAGAAGGGTGGCAGTGGTCCTTGAGGTAGAACATTCTGTCACCTGATGTCCGATGTGGTATTGGGGACATCTAGTAAAATATAATTTACTAGGGTAAAATAGACACAGAAATGCACAAGTACTTACAACAGTGAGTGAAATGGAATAAGCGTGGTGCAGTGATGCCAGTTTCCTGCTTATGATATTAGACTCTGCTTACATATGGTGCTACGCTTGGAAGAGGCTTGTTGTCATACAAGATTTCTAACATTTATGACAAGTCTATACATCTATGATAATCCCAAAATTAGAAGTTTAAAATCAATTTCTGCAGACCACAATGTCCGTATTTTATCTGCTACCAGCCAGGATCATTCTGTATTTTACTTTCTTGATGAATTTCTCTCCCTGGCTTATGTGAAGTTTGGAGAAGAGAAATAGCAACTTCCAGAGGGGAATCGAGGGGCTGAAGGGACAGTACAGGGGTTTAGGTGCTTGCCTTGAACACGACTGACTTGGGCGACTAGGGTTCCAGCTCCAGCACCACAGGTGGTCCCCTGAGCCAGAGCCAGGAGTGATCCCTGATTGCAGAGCAGGAGTAAACCAGAGCATTACTGGGTGTGGTCTCTAAACAAAGCAAGCAAAACAACCAGATCTCTTTTCTGTTCAGTCCTTAGGAGCCATTTCAACCACCTCTAATCTTTTTCTGTCGACCTATAAATAGCAAGAAGAAATAAATGACTAATGACATAGCAATAGTACAGCTGGTGGGGTGCTTACCTAGCA